TCTCTCACTCAATTCTCATAGCGCCCCAGTGGAGCAGGGATTATTAATTACCCTTGTTTACATCAGAAGAAATTGAGATTCAGCAATGTTAAACCCAGATGCTAAGCACATCTGAACCCAGAAGTGCCTGAGTCCAAAACCCAGGTTTAACCACATGCCCTATGGCCTCCCTCGTCCCCCTTGAGGCCCAGATGGCTGAGAAGACAAAGATAAGTAGTGCAACCACGTAATTCATCTTCCAAACTGGGATACTTAGAAAGTGAAAGGTGTCACTGTAAATAATTTCACTGGGACAGGAGGCATAAACTAGAACTATTCCAGCAAACCAGGACAGATGGCCACCCTAAAAATAAGGGGACTAAAATCAAGACCCAAACTGCAGTTCTAAGTTTCCTGGAAGGGGTGCCATGGAGCAGCTGCCAGCCCCACAGGACATCCGCAGCTGCCAGGTCACGGTCAAGGCTAGAAGAAGAGGGGTGGTCCTGGCAGAGCTCAGAGCGGCATCTGCAAAGCTGTAGGCTGGGAGCCATTTGCAGTAACAGGAATGCAGCAAGGCTCTACAGAGCTTCCTTTGGTGGGGCTGGTTTCATTTCTGGGCATTGCCTGTACTTCCTTGGTCATCTCCTCCACTCTCTCTGCTCTCTTGGGGATGCCCAGGCCCTGGCATCCCTGCCACATGCTGCTCATTCATTAAAAGCCCCTCATTCCTCCCTGCCATTCTAATTATGCACAGCAGTAATAAAGAAGCTTTCTCCCTTACCAAAGGGAACTATTTATATGACAAGAGAGCATTTCGCCCCCACAAGATTGAGTCGTCACTCTAAGCCCTGCTGGAATCAAAGCTGCATCTCTTCCAAGATTGCCCGAGCTCTGCCCGCCTCCCCTCCAGCTTGGCCCACTCCTGAGCATCCATGTTTCTAGAAGCACCAATCTGGAGTGGGCAGAATGTGGATTCTATTCCTCACTGCTGTGTGCCCTCATGTCTTGCTGACTGATACTCAACAAACAGTTAAGACATTTATTGAACACCTACTGTATGCCCTTACTAAGAATATGGAAATGGAAGACATAGTCCCTGCCCTTCTTGGGAGAAAAGGCATTGAGAGAAACAACACAGGTTTTAGGCTCCATGACTGACTCATATTGCAAGTGCAACATCCACTGGCTGGGCAAGTTATGGAATTTGTCAAAGCCCTCAATTGCCTCATTGGCAAAATAGGGTAATAAAAATACCAACCTCATAGGGTTGTTGGAAGAGTCAGTGCGATACACACATACAAAGCCGGCATCTTGTAGGCACTCAATAAACACTAGTTGGAATCAGCAACAGCTATGTACCAAAGGCCTTGGGGCCACGTAGGCAGATCTTGCCCAGCTGCATGAGTCCAGGAAGGCCTCCTGAGAAGTGATACTGGAGCTGAGTTTTGAAGGATGAGTAGTAGGAGTTTGCTAGATAAAGGGACGATGCCACAGGCAGAGGGAACTGCATGTGTCGAAGGCCAAAAGAGGTTAACAGGGCTCTGGGAAATACAAACGCTGTGCAGGGGCACGCACAGGGGGAATTCGGGGATGACCATGGCTGCAGACACAGCTGCAGAGGCAGGTGCTCACTCAGAAGTGGGTCCCACGGCCAGAGCCCTAACCAGGATTACACAGAGCATTGCCTGGACCTTTATTTGGTTCCTTTAGGGGCCACAATCAGTGCCCCTCTGCTTCCATCTGTAGGATGGTGGCCACAGGAAGTGGGGCAGCCACATTCTCCCTGTTAGCCATGGCCTCACTCTTTCAGACATGCAACACGATTCCTGAGAGCCTGTGACGTGCCAGGCATGTGCTAGGAGAGGCTGCACAGCTCGACCCCGGGGCCCCACGTCCAACAGCCTAGGCCCCACCCTCACTCAGCCCCCTGCAGCTGTGCGCTGCTAGGACTGGCAGCCTTCTCCTCACCGAAATGGGGGTAACAGGGCCCCTTCATAGATTCATTCACTCAACAACAAACGAGGTCAGGGCTAAATGAGATAACTCAATATTCCCAGGTTTCAGCATACGCCTAAGTCTTCAATAAATGTCAATGTTTAAAATGTTTATTTTTATTAGAATTAACCACCAGCATGGGTGAAAAATCCCATCACCAAAGCCCAATGCAGAGACACCCTCAACCCAGGCAAAACTGCCTGCCTGCCATCCCTCTCCTCCACCCCTCGCCCTGGAGAAAATGACACAGTTTCCACTGCCCACACTGGTCACTGAACTGACTCGGTCACCATAGGAGCCACCCCAGGCGGAACCACTCTGTGCCTCCCCCAGTTGATCTCATCCTTCCAGGGTTCCCGTGTCAACCCACTCAGGTCATGGGGGAGGGGCAGGATAGAAGGTCATCTCAGCCTTTGCTGTCGAACACTCCAGAGACTAAAGGAGATTCACATTTTATACATTAACTAATTTAAATATCTTATTAAGGAAATTTACAAACACACACAAAATAAACTGAATAGTAATGAACCACTTCCTATCACCCAGATTCAACAACTACCAAAATTCTGCCATTCTTTATTTCATCCTTGTCTCCACCCACTCACCACCCCACCCCCACTCAACTTGTTGGGGAAGATTTTATGGCCAGCCATCATGCCCCCTACTCTGTACTCGCACTGCTCACAAGTCCCAACACAGTCTGATATTTCTGCCACATATTATTCCACACCAAGAGCACCCTGGAAATCCACCCCTGAAGCACAACCATTTTTATGTCCCTAATAGAATGGTAACCACTGACCACATCCACAAGGACTACACAGGGTGGTGCCCTGGAATCAGATGGCCTGTGTCCCAATCAACACTTCCTAGATGTGTGACCTTGGGTAGGTCATTCAACCCGTGTTTAGATTTCCCACCCAGTCAAAGGGGAATGCTTGGTAACAGGTTTATTGTGAGGCTTAGAAAAATAAAATAACGCGTGTTCATTGCCCAGCACAGAACATGCAATGAGGAAACCATAGAAATCAAGGTGTTGAGGGAGGGGTGAGCAGACTTTGCTCCTAGTGATACTATTAATATTCCCCATTTTACAGATGGGAGCCAGAGACAAGGCGAGTTGCCAGGGGCAGCCTGCTCTTCAGGTTGCTCTGTGTCCTAAGTCCATGCACCTGGAATTCTCACCAGCCACCGTGAACTGCAGATCATTGGAAGTGAAGAAACACACTCTGGAACAGACCCAGGTGAGCAGTGGCAGGTGGCCCAGCACACCCAGTATGTGCTTCCTCATCCTGCATGAGGCTCTCTCCCAGCACTGAGGAGACAATCCACCATGCTCCATCATGTGTTGGGGGGTGCTGAATTTGATTTTACAAGACAAAACAGTGTTGGGGAGGGTGTTGGCGGGTGGGTGCACACACCTGCTCACTCTTCTAATGTGACAAATCCTATGCTCAACCGTGCATTTGATACAACCACCCACTCTTTATCTCAGCATGAGAGACAAGAAACTGGCTCCCTAACTCTCAAGCTTTAGCAATTCAGACGCCTCTACTTATCCTAAATTTTTTTTTCAATTTAAAGAAAAAAGTGGGAAAAAATGAGTCAATTCAGTTGCTGGGTGATGTTCAGACAAAGACAGCTGCCAGTCCATCACCTGCGTTTGCCAGCTGAGGCAGGGCAGGGAGGGGGAGCAGATTCGGTGCGCGTTTGGGCAGGGCCTGGGCTCTCGGTCTCCACTGCCTCTCCCTGGAGTGAGCCGTGTCAGGATCCCCCAGCCCCCACCCTGCACTCCCCCACCACTGCAGTGCCGCGTGGGGAGGCACCTCCCAGATCCGCAGGAACAATGGGGCTGGGGAGGGGGCAGGTGCAGCTCCGAGCGCAGCAGAAGGTGGGGGCCGCCGGCACCGACAGCAAGACAGGGAACGCGATGCCACTGGACTCAGTTTCTCCAGCTTTGGAGTCCCCGCAGAGCCTAGCGCTCCTTTCTTGGCTGCTTCTCCCTTACGTCAGGGCATTTTAATTTCATCCTCCCAAGCGGCTTGCCGGTCGCTCGGGGAAAACTGCCGGGCCGCGCTCCCCTCCGGCCGCTGCTCCCGCCAAGGCCCTGCAGGTCAGGGACGCGCAGCGCCTCAGTGCGCCCAACTTTCCTCACTTGGGACCCACAGGAAGACCGGAATCCTGGCCAGCCCGTCCCCTCCGTGGACGAAGCTTTGATTTACAGCCCGGGCTCCGAGACCTGCTCCTCCTCTTCCCGAAACCGCCTTCCCTGGTCCTCTCCGGCTCCCCCACCCCTCTGAGCCCTAATCACGCTCCCCAAAGAAAGCGGCCCTGGCACATTTGCAAAATGTGAGCCTCCGTCCTCCGCACTGGGCCCCTCCCCTCGCCCTCGGCAAGGAGGGGACGGTGGAGCCCCTGCCGCTTCGCCCTTCCCCGGCCCAGAGAATCCCTGGGGATGGGCGGGGAGGTAGGTGGGATGCCATTTGGCTGCAACCCCCAGTGTTGGCGCCAGCATCGGGCCCGGGCCGGATGGGATGAGGGGACAGGTCCAAATCTCAGATTTCCCCCAGGCGACCACTTGCGCCTCGCTGAGTCACGAAAATTAGCCGCTAGGTGTACCCGGCCACCCGGCCGCCGGCCCTTTACCGGGCAAGCGCTGGCCGCCCCAGCACAGCGCGCAGGGGATGGAACCGGAGGGCGGTTCTCACCCGCACTCGCACCCGGCCCCGCAGGAGGCGCCACCCGCGGCAGGGACGGCCAGTGTGCTCCAGCTGGGGCTGCGGTCCCCGCTGCAGTGTGCGCTCCCCCGGCCGGGAGCGCAGCACGTAACGGGCGGGCTACCTCCTGCCCCCTGGACCCCCAGCCCCGCCGCGCTGCCGCCCCCGATGCCCCCCGTGACAGCAAGATGGGGCGGGGGCGCCCACTTTTGCACGGCCCGCGAGGGGGCTGCGGGCGCCGGGCCGTGCGCGCCTCATCCCTCCCCTGTCCTGCCAGCTGCAGCGACAGGACCCGCACCCTGCACTCACCACGGGGCCCCGCGTCGCTGCCACCGGCTTCCTTGTCCGCCATAGTCGCGCGGCCCCGGCCCGCGAGAGGAGCCTCCGGCGCAGCGCCCGTGCCCGTGCGGGTCCCTGTCCGCGTCCTCGATGGCGCTCGGGCCGGGTCTGAGCCGCCGGACAGCCAGAGCACTGCTCTGACGCGGCCGCCGCGGCAGCCCGGGCTCCTCCCCGTGCTCCTCCCCGGCCCGCCCCGCGCCACGCCCCGCCCCGCCGAGCCCGGGCCGCTGGGGAAGGCCGGGGAAGGCAGGGACAGCGAAGGGCCGGGCCGAGAGCTCCGCGCCCCGCCCGCCGGGAGCCGCCCCTGTGAGGCCCGGCCCCCTCCTCTCTCAGGCTCGGGGACCGGGCTCTGGAGCTCTCGCCCCTGCGTCCGCCGGCGGGAGTGGTGGCCGGACGCAGGCGCGGTGGGGGGCCGATTTCAGGCCTTCGGGCCCCCTGCGTGTCCGCTCCTTGGAAGGCGCCGAATGGCAGGGCCTGAAGCCCTGCAGCAAGCACCACGCACACACCGCACTCTCCGGGGACGCCCGCTCCAGTCCCCACCGGTTTCTGTCTCTCCCCCAGAGGAGCGGTCCAGGGCCCGCGCAAAGGTGAGCTGGGAGGACCCAGCACAGCCAGGATCCAGGCCGCAAACCGAGGACCTGCGCCGGGCCGTGCCCAGGGCACTGCCTCGGGCATCCGCCTCTAGGCCGCCTGCGGGACTCCATGGCAACTCGGGACCCAGGGAGGCGCTTGCCTTGGAGGCTGAGTCGCGCATTCCATATATGAGCTCTAGCCGGGGCCCTCCTTAGAAGTCTGAGAATAACGACATTAATAATGCAAGGCTTTAGCGGTGAATGATTCATAACCCCTGTCCTCCGTCTCCGCCACACACACGCGCCGCTGGCACCTGTTTGGGCTCGGCCAGCCTGTCTTGGTAACGAATAACGACCATCGTTATTGGGTCCTTTCCAGGTGCCTGGCACTATGCCAGGTGCTCAGGTGTTTGATCTCCTTTCCTCCTCATAACTAACATTGTGCAGATGAGGAAACTAAAGGTTGGTAGAGTTAAGAGGCCGTTCCAATATCACACACAGCAAGCGAGTGACCCAGCTGGGATTCCTGACCAGTGTAACCACCAGCTATCCCTCACTTCCTGAGATGGATGGCATTTCCCAAAGGGCACCGAGGGGAGGCTTCTGTGCAGCCCCATTATGGATGACAGGGTGGGCAGAGAGCTGCTTGGGAGAGCCTGGCTCTGCTCAGAAGGTGATGGTAAAGTAACAAGTTCAAAAGATGAAATTTGTCTTCTGGCTGCCTGCCTTAAAAATTCCAAATACAGTCCTTGACTGTGTGTGAGACCACAGTCAAGTTACTTGACCTCTATGAGCCTCAATACCCTCATCTGTGAAATGGGTACAACAGGAGAATCCACTTCATAAGAGTGAAGAGGATTAGATGAGATGATGCACATAACACGCTTGGGATCTAGCACACACAGTAAACAGTCGCGGCATCTTTTTAACAGCAGACAATGGCAGTTATGCAGGGCAGTGGGCAGTGGAGGGTACATGGGAGGGGGGACAATGTGTTCCCACAGAGCATCTCTCCCCACTAAGGCTGCTTGCTTGCTGAAATGACACTCTGCTATCTCAGAGACCCAAGAGATATTTTCAGTGGATGGCCTGGAGGCCGGGCGCACTTGGCCCCCAAAGGCAGATAGGAGGAAGGGTTGATGCAGTTGTCCCAGGCAATAGCCGGGCAGGCTCGGGATGCAGTGGGAAAGGGCTGGTCCGGCCCTTCATTGACCCCACAGTTCTGCTCACATCTTCCCACTGAGTGGAGCTGGCCAGGCTGAGGCCACATGGGTTAGAACAGGAGGGGACAGGGACAGCCACTGGCACTCTGTCCACTGAGTAATAGTGTCACGTGCGCACACACCTGAACAGTGATGCCAGAAAGAACTCGTGATTAAACATGGTTCTCACTGAGTTTCTCTGTGCTCAAAATCATGCTGGGCTTCCCTTATCTACAGGAAAAAGCCCTAACTCTTTAGTGTGACATTCAGTACCTTAGACAACAGTGAGCCCCCACCTTCCTCTTCTGCAGTCTCTCCCCCAAGAAGCTTTCCTCTGCCGTGGTTAAAAGCTGCTTCTCTCTCCATGCTTGGCAACCCCTTCACTTCCCTCCTCCACCTGCCCACATCCGGGCATCCTTCAGGGCCCCTGTCCAACACCACTGGCACAGGGAAACCTTCTAGAACACCGCCCCCAGCCTCAGGCTCCCATGGTATGCTATGCACCCACACACCTTTGTTTTCTCCTCTGCACACTCTGCTGCCAGCTCAGCACGCAGAAGGCTCCTCTGTCTGTCTGTGGGGACGCCCACTTCCACACCCAGGCTGGACCTTCCTCTAGGCTTCCAGATCTCCTGGGAGTCTCCTCAGGATGTCCCCCAGGCCCCTCACACTCAAGTGAAGCCCAGCCCATCCTCTCGTGCCCTCCCTCCTGGGGGCTGCATCTCTGTAAAGGCAACGCCACCCACCAGCGGCCAAGCCACATGCCTGGGCCTCCACTCAACAACACTCCTCCCTTGGGGTCCATCCAGGTTCGGTCAATCTCCAAGTCAAGCACTGCCCAGGGGGCCTCGCCTTTCCCTCCTCCTCTGCATCCTCGCTGCCACCACCCTTGTCCAGATGCCTGTCACCTCTCCCTGCCAACGTGTCTGCCCCAGCCTGCTCACGGCTCCCCTGCCCTCCTGTCCCACCCTCCGGACAGTCCTTGTGAATCTGGTCTGCCCTGGCCTTGCTCCAGCTCCAGCTCCTGCGTCCTGACTCCTTCGCCCCCTCCCACACACCCCTGCCTCTCTCGGGCTGGGATTTCAAAGACATTGAAATGCGCTTGATGCCTGGATCACCCATCCCTCATCCCACCACCCCCAGCAACCTGGGGAACCACTTCTGCTCTTCAGCATGGACCGCCAAGTCCAGGAAGCCTTTCCTGCACCCCGACACCAGGCAGGGCGCCTCTCCTCAGTGTCCTCGTGGCACCGTGTTCCTCCCCATCACGGACCTGACCCCGGGGCGTCAGGATGTTGGCCTTGTCAGCCTGTCAGAACCAGCAGGAACCCCGCAGCCCCCACCCCTCTGCCTCCTGTTGTGCAAAGGCCTTGGGCACCATCTGCCCTCACCGAGCGCCGCCCCCCAGCTGCAGTGACATGAGGGCGCGTGAGGAGGATGGGAGATGACATGCAGTCCCCAGTGCTGGGGGCAGAGAGACGAACAGTTGTGATTTTCAGGGGAGCATGAAAAACTCACTGTGCCTCGAGTTTGCCCTCACGGTTTCATACTTGTCACGCTAATTACCGTGTGCCCTGGTGAGCGTTCATTCTACCAGAAAGGTGCTGCTGTGGTCTCACCTGATTCTCAGTGTGGCCCTCGGCATCTTGTTCAGACATCCTCTGGCCATCAGCAGCAGGGCTGGGGTTCAAGGCCAGGCCCAGTTCCACGTCACTGACATCAGGGAAGGGCTCCCACTTTCCTCCCTGGACCCAACAGCAGCCAGAATGAGATCACATCCCTCTCCTGCTACCAGCTGCTACATGAACCAGCCTCCTGACCCCCAGTGACCTCAGCTCCCTCCACCCTCCCATCCCCCCCAGTCCAAACACACTCAGACAGCCCTGATTTGAACATGCCGAATGGGGTCCCACCTCAGGGCCACTGCCCAGGACACATCGCTCAAGAGAACCACCATGTGGCTCACTCCCCCCAGACCACCTTATCTGAAACTGCTGCCTCACCCCACTAGGAAGGAAGCCCCAGGAGAGCAGGGCTGTGGCTGCATTGCTACCTCTGCATCCTGTGTCTAGAACAGCACTCGGCACATGGCAGGCACTCAGATGCTTGGTGCCAGACTGGCTAAACCGGTCAGTGACGCAGGAACACAACGGGCTTTGCCCAGCAGGGAGGACAAAGCCCACCACGCGGAATTCTGGCTGATGCCGGGGGGCTCGCACACCTTTCTGCAACCCCAGCTATCTCAAGGTGTTCCGGACTCATGGGAGGATGCTCCACACCAAGTTCCCTCAAGATCCCCTCCGAAGACTCCTCCCAGTGCTCTCTGGGGACACACCACGGCAGCGTCTGTGCAATGTCCTCTTTACCCTCTGGGCCGTCGGGGCCCAGGCTGTGGGCTCTGATGGTGGGTTGTGAGACTGTTACGCATCTTGGTGGGACACCTGAATCCCAAAAAGTGGCCCAGCCCAGAGCCAAGTCACCACTCTCTAGTCCCCTGCATGTTGGTCACTCTAGGCTCAGGGGCCTGCCCTCGGATCCCTAAAGAGCGACTGGTTTTGCCAGGTAACCTGTTTCCTCCTACAGGTCTCAGCTTGGATGTCACTTCCTTTAGGACACCACCTGGCCCTCCAAGACAGCATGAGGACCTTCCTCTGTCCTCTGTGCCCACCCCCTACCCCCATGCATTCCTATTGTAGCACTGATCACAACTCTGAGGTCAGCATTATCATTAAGCCCATCGTACAGATGACAAAACTAAGGCACAGAAAGGTCACTGAGCTAAGAAGCTGCAGCATGGAGACCAAACCTCTGAGACTAGAACTCAGGCCTTTCCAACTTCAGGTTGCCCATCTCCCCATCTAGCTGCATCGTCCATGAAGCCTGGCACAGAGAGCTAAATATTGAAGGAAAACAGCTCCCTCAGCTCCAGACCATCCTCATCCTCTCCGGGACCCTCTTCACCCGCTGGCCTACAGACACTCCCTACCAGCAGACACACTCCCTGCAACCCCCAACCCCATCATGTCAATTCATACAAACAGAAGCCAGAGCCCCGAGGCAGGCCCAGCTAACTCCACCAGGCAGCCACGACACACTGTCCCCCTGTACTAACTGCCAACTGTGGAAGGGGCCAGACGCACTGCACCTCTGGGTGGTGGGGGAGGCAGCTGAGTCCTCTGGCCCTCAGCTCAAAAGACACTGAGAAAGGTTTGCTGGTCAGGAGCAGGTACACGCAAGGTACAGCAGAGGGAGCAGATTGGAGGAGAGCGTGGGCTCGGCTGCTCCCTGCCTCTCAGGGGACCTGAGGACACACCTCTGTGGGTCTGTTTTGTCACCTGGAAATAGGGCCCAATAACCGTAGGTAAGATAATTATGGGAGATAACATATGTTAAACATTCTGTTTAGGGCTGGGCTATATATGTGGCAGTTAATGTGACTTATTTAATCTACATACTTGGACCACAAAAATGTCTTCACCTTGTATATTATAAATTACAGAATGGATCTAGGCAAAATTGTCTTGGCTGGTAAAGACACATAGAAGACAAAGGAGTGAGTAGCTTTTTCTTTTTCATGTTTATTTTTTTAAAAATTTAAGTTTAAGAAACACGGATACTAGTTCAAATCTGAACTTCTACAAAGGAAGCATCCTATAAAAGCTGCCTTGGACTTTACGCGATGCCACCAGAATCCCGTCTATCAATCGAATATCATAAAGGTGAGTCCTTTATAACAGGACCAATATTCAAGATGTGCTAAAGCAACATAAAAACTTACAGGGAAAGCCTGGACATACATCAGACTCCTTCACCTCCAAAAGTCAGTGCATTTCAAATATCAAACTTTCCAGCTGGTTCCTGGTGGCCAGTGTATACATCCTCTCCCCGCCTTGGTTTTCCACCCCATCTGGTGTGAATCAGCCTCTCCATTAACATTCCAAAACACACTTCACATATACAACATGTGCCGCCGCATGACTCTTCCAGGGAAAAACGCAAGGGCCAGAGGAAATTATTTCTCCAAATATCACAATCACTCAGGCCTGCAATGTAAACTTTAGAAATGCCTTCTCAGGTAATGGAGGGTTATCCAAATATTTTTCGTGTTTCCAACAGCAAAAGATCGTCTCTGCTTACTTTCTCAGCAGCATTCTCAGCCTGCTCAAACCCTAGCCCTGCAGATTCCTGGTTCATTAATAAGACAGGATATTCCAGAAGCCACGTCTCAAGGAGGACAATGCAAAGGGAGACAAGGTTCAGAGAAGGAAAAATGAAATGATTGCGTGGCCAGGAGAGCTTTCACATGGGCTGCAACGAACCACAGACTATAAGGGCCAAAGGTTTCATATTATAGAGAAAAACTACTTCCCTCTTCTTCAGCCCACAGCCCAGCGCCTGGCTCACGGCGGGTGCTCGTAAATGTTTGTGGAAGAAATGAATGAATGGTCCAGTAAAATAATGGAACTGGACTGGAAACCAGGGCCCAGAGAAGCTAAATCTCTTGTTCAAAGTCACACAATTAGTGACAGAGCTAGGGCCAAACTCCAGCTTGACTCTAATTGTCCCTCTCTGCAAAAGGCCAAGTGGGAGATGGCTCATTCTAGCTGCCATGGATTAGTGATGACTGCTGGGGAGGCCCTTCCAGCTCCCTGGATGTGAATGCGGTGATGGATTAACAATGCCTGCCCCCAGGAGGGCGTGAGAACTGTGGCATCCAGGGCATGGTCTTGCCCTTCTTGGAACCCCTTGGCCTCCAGGATCCCTCCTCTCTAATTTTCTAGAATTCTGTAACAGGCAAAGACAGCATGGTGCACTGTGCAAAAGTAAATCTGAGTGCTTCCGGCCACCTGCAGCTTCAAATGCCAGGAAAGGCCTCGGAAAAATCAAATCTCCCTTAATCATGGCACTGCCCTGGTCACCCGCAATCCTAGAGCTGCCTATCTAGATGGTTCTACCCCATCCCAGGAACGTTTGTGCATCCTACATAGAGGCAGGCTGGCGTGCCTCTGGGGCTGCACAGTTGTGTGTATTCTTCCTGGTGGCAAGTGCATCGTCACAGGATTTGCCTGGAGGAGAGATGCGGGCAGCACTCAGCTGAACTGGAGTGACAGTGTTATCTGGGCCAGAGGGCTGAGAGCTTTGGCAGCATCATCAAAGAGCAAGGCTTGAACAAGTCTCCAAAAACAGCAGAGTGAGGAATGTGCCAATAAGACGCCATCCTCCTTGCTACACTTCTCAGGGAAACCAGTACTCCTGGGAGTGACCCCTGCAAGAATGAACCCAAATGTTGTCTGTTTGGGGGGTCACTGGGTTCCTGGTTACAGCCTGTGGAAGCTGGGGCCAGTCACTTGTCCCTGGACCTCAGTTTCCTCATCTGTTAAAGCAGGCCAGCTCTTCCCTGTCTTACCCTCTGCTGACCCCTACCCCTACCTGCATCACCTGACTCACCTTGAAGGGCACCTCCCTGACCCCACCTATTGTTTCATATCATGTCATGCCACCTTGTTTGTCCACAGCACTTACATACTTTGAAGTCATTGTGCATATTTGTACACTGTGAGCCTTCCCACTAACGCTTCCCACTGTGGGCAGTGGGAAGAATAAACATTTATCAAGCGCCTGCTGTGTGCTGGACATTGCTCTGGGTCCCTCACATCTATTGCCCCATTCATCTTCAGAGCAATGCAGGGGACTGTTGTCCCCATTTTACAGATGAGGAAACTGAGGCCTGGAGATTAAGTACTCAGCCACAGTTATCCAAGGAGCAACTGGAGAGAAAGAATTTGTCTGATCTCAGTGGAACACCCACATCTATCGTGCCTCCATCTGTGCTGGGCCGTGTCCCCAGCACCTCACCCAGCGCCTGGCACATAACAGGGCCTCAAGAAACGTGCTGAGTGAATGAATGAATGAGCAAATTGGAAGATAGAATTACAGTTTACAAAGCACCCTCACATCTCTCCTCTGGCTTGAATCATGTAACCGCACTGGGAGGGAAGTATCACTATTCCTGACTTTTTTAAGATGAGAAAACTGAGACCTTGAGCAACCTTGCCCTAAGGTGGTAATTCTATGGGGCTGCTTTAAGCCATTCAGTTTTTTTCAAATCTTTTGTTTTATTTAAAAGTTGTATATACATTTTACATTCTATTCTACAATATGTCTGCACTTGTTTTTTAAACAAAACTAACATCTTATTAATTGATTTCTATTATTTGCTTTTTAAAATGTTTTATTGTGAAAAAATGTCAAGCATCCACAAAAACAGAGAGGATGCTATAATGAACTCACAGGTACCCATCACTCAAATTACTTAATTTTTAAAAACCAACTATTGAAGCGAAATTGACTCTCCCAGGAAGAAATAACGGTAGCTGTCATTACTTAATTTTCACAGTCCTCCCTAAGAAGCCCACACTCACACTGGCGTCTATTTCAGATGAGGGTGTGGAGGGAGGTGAGGTCAATCACTTGCTTGAAGTCTTGGAGCCCTAAGGGGCAGAGCCAGGAGTCACCCAGGGCTGATCTGCTTAACCACCAAGTGGCCCTGCCAAGAGCCCTGGAGGTGGAATAAGTACTCTAAAACCAGTCAAGAAAATAGGTCCATTTTCATCCTCTTTCTTTTAAACCTGAAGATTGCATTAAAGCCACACAGTTTTCAGAAGCATCCCACTCCAAGTCAGCCAGGACACCAGGTCATCCCTTCATCCTCTCCCTCATTCACTGTCGTTCATTCTCTCCTTCCATCAGACATGTACAGGCCCCTCGCTGTGCTGGGACTTAGAGTCTCACTGACCCAGCCCTCAAGGAGCACCCAGCCTTGGTGAAAAGGAGAGAAACAAGGAAGATCTCAACCGGCACCTTCGTGTCTGAAATTTACAAGGAAATCGCTTTGGGCCTCATCTACCCTCTGTCCCCTCCATCAGGAAGCAAGGGAAGAGGGCAGGGAGCAGAGTGGTTCAGGATGTGGGCTGGGGAATTAGATTTAATACTTGGGCTTGAATCCCACCTCCATCCCTCCCTAGCTGTGTGGCCTTGAGTGAATTACCAAACCTCTCTGATTCACTTGTAAAAGAGGGTTGGTAAAACTCCCATATACTAGAGCCACTGGAACATTACCTTAGATGATGTTTAGCCCAGTTTCTGCAGCAAAGTGAGCTTCTCATCAACGATGGCCATTATAATTGGCATTACCCATAACCCAATCTCTAATGAGTCCCAGCTTGCCCGAGTGTGGCAGCAGCTTTGTAAAAGAGTGTACGCATTTTTGAGCTCACTAGGATGTTTCTCTTAACAGGTATTATTATAATATTTCCTTGGAAAGTCTGTAAATATGGAAAATAAATAAAATAAAAAAATAGAAATTCTCAGCCTTCCCCACTCAGCTGGCTAAGGGATGTTGGCCACGTGTGACAAGAACAATCTGGCAGTCAGTGGAGCAGAGACAAAGACGCCCTGTTGTTTCTCAGCCTAGTGCTGGCATGCTGGCACGAATTCCACGATCCTACAGGGCAAACCCACGGGCAGTGTGATCAGGATGGCTGGAGCCAGGGCTTCCATGTCGGGCAAGCCCGGTCTTGCCCAGCCTCTCTCCAGAACCTCCTCCTGGGTGGGTACAGACCAAGAGGACCCCAGGCGGACACCTGGCACATGGCAAGCACTTCATGATCAATGATGAGAGAACACCAGACCTGGTGTCAGGATCCCTGACTCCAAGACCAGGCTCTGTCATTTGCTGTGTGGCCTTGGGCAGGTCACGCAGCCTCTCTGAAGCCCAGTCTCCTCATCTGTACCATGAGGATAAAAATCATACTTACTATTCTAGCCTCATCCTGCCTGTCACAACCTGGGGTGGAATCCCAACTCTGTCACTTCTTAGTTTGTGATTTTAATTACTCTAAGCCTTATTTTCCTCATCTGTGAAATGGGAATAATTATTGCACTGACCTCCCCGGGCTGTTGTGAAGATTGAATAAGGTAATGTGTGAAATGCTTGGTCTGGAGTCCGGTACATAGTAAGGGCTCAGTGACGGAGAACGGGCACTCCTTGGTAGAGAATGGCTGTGCCACTTATATTCTAATAATCCTAATAGTCAGTTCCCTTCTGTGTTTGCTCATTTTCTGCTGGACACTAAGTCAAGCCCTGAACTACCTCATTTCACCTTCCCAAGACAGCCAGCCCGCACCCACGACGGGGAACATCCCTCTTGGGCAATATGGTGGGTCCATGAGCCAGGCCTTCCCTGCCTTACCCTAGTGGGGGTCGGCTACATGCAATTTTGTCTCCAATGGCTACCCAGCCAGGTAATAGCCCAAAACTGCTCCACCAAAAGCCAGAGGCCTGCACTTGGACAGTCTTCACTGGTAAAATGGGGTAAAATATGCCATCCTAACCCCCTGGCTTGCCGTGAGGATGGACAGGGCTAAGATCTTGACAGAGGTAAGAGGGTTAAATAAATTATTTATTTCATCCCTAAAAAGGTTTGTCATTTTCTCCATTTCCTATTTTG